TGTATCAATATCCAAGTTAACAATAATCTTTAGGAAGCATTGTATCAATATCCAAGTTAACAATAATCTTTAGGAAGCATTGTATCAATATTCAAGTTATCAATAATCTTTAGGAAGCATTGTATCAATATCCAAGTTAACAATAATCTTTAGGAAGCATTGTATCAATATCCAAGTTAACAATCTTTAGGAAGCATTGTATCAATATCCAAGTTAACAATAATCTTTAGGAAGCATTGTATCAATATCCAAGTTAACAATCTTTAGGAAGCATTGTATCAATATCCAAGTTAACAATAATCTTTAGGAAGCATTATATCAATAAAAAAATTGTAGTTTTAAAAACAGTAATAAATTTAAACATTTCATCAAATTAATTTCAATCATATCACCAGAGATGGGGTGTTGAATAACACAGAAGTTTATGTTATTTAGTGTACTTATTAATCATATTATGCACCATCTTATAAATATCACTCTATGCTAACATATACTTGCTGAATAAATTTTGTAATAATATTTCTTAATGTTGATATTATGTAAACTATACAGTACTTAAAGTTGGATTTAAAAGCTAACACTGAAGAGTATAGTTTAATGAAAGTATTTCTCAAGTAACTGTTGTGAAGCCAAGAAACTAAGGACATTGTATTCCCCCCAAAACCTCCTGAAAACTAATACATGGTTGGCCACATAATTTTAAAATCATACTTTAACACACAAAGTGAAGTGTAGAATATTTAAATTGTGTTTCACTGGTTCAGTTTTCTACTTGGTGGACTACAAGCCTATGTTCTTGGTTCATTACTATTTAATTTATATGCATTATTATGTAGTACATTTGGGAAAAGTAGTCTAATTTCAAAGTATCTATTAAAACACACAGAAAGAATTAAAACTATTTCATGATTTTTTTAATGAATTAAAAGAATGTACAAGTGTGTTATTATTAACGTGGCAGAACACAAGCTCTAAACCAATCAGTTTTCATCTAAATATTTATTTTTCTTCATTAACACATACTTACCCCCTCAGGTTTAGCAGCAATAAGATGAGTGCAGTTCTTTGTCAGGTCCAGCTGAAAATTACCCCCATAGAAAGTGACCATGGCCCAGACTGCTTTGGTATCACTCTCTGACATCTAACCAATCAGAGAAAAACATCCATCATCACTATGTGAGCAAACGTATAAAATGAACAGAAAGTTCATAGTTCCACATGTTTGTCTGGATTACGAATTATCTGTATACAAGTGTGTAGAAACCAGACATAAGCAGATGGTGATGTTTATTGTGGATATATTTTTATAAACTGTATTTTTCATGTTGTAATTTAGAAATCAGCTAAATGAAGCAGATAGATCTAGAACATTCTAAGGAGGTGACAGAAAGTGTTCTAGACCATTTGAAGCTATATTATAAATAAAGAAGGCTGTGACAAATATAGAATTGTTTCAAGAGTGCTTCAAGAGTAGACTGAGTTGAAGGATAGTCAGAGATAGGAAGCATAGTTTTCAAGAAGATAGTTGATTGAATCAGTCAATGTGTTAGCTACCACAGTTACTCTGTGCAAGTAAATTGATTTGATTTCATGTTCGTCCTAGATTGTTAGAGGTTTGAATGCCGACTATAATGTAATCTTCCAACAATGTATGCAAGTAGTGGTTAGAGACGGCTTGAATGGGTAATGAAGAAAAACTTTAATATAAGTTTAACATTACAGCAAATGTACAACGTTTCGACAAGGTTTTGTCATCATCAGGTTAGTGAGAGTGTCAAATAGTCTTAGTAATTTTGCAATAACAAAGACAGGGTAAACAAGTTTAGTAACAATGGCAATCAAATCTGAAACCTCCCCACAAGTTTGTAGCTTTGTTCTTAACAAAAAACAAACACAATGGCAATATTTTGATTATTATAGTTGGAATAATTGAAAACAGTAATTTACTGAAGACCCTAATTTCAATTATTTGATTATTTTTGTGGTAATTGCTTCAGTCATAATTTTAATTAATTGACTGTTGGAATAATCGAAAAAAATAATAACTGGAACAACTAATTTCAATTAGTTGATTACTTCCATGACATTAATTGATTAACTGTAATTTAAATCAATCAATCAGTTTAAGAGATATTAATCAACATAGTCGCTGCTCACAAGTAACTGATTAGTCTACTCAGCTATGCTCATCACTAATAACCGTATTTCCAATGAGTTTAAACTAGTGCACTGTAGGGGGAGGGGAGAGAGTAGTGACACAAAGAATAGATTAGATTTCCATTTTTTTGAATATAATTCAACTTAAAAATTATACAAAAAATACTAACACAAAAAATTACATTTTTTATCATGTACAAACCTGACTTGGACAAGCAATGATTGATGAGAACATCTGTGTTCTTGTAGGTGAAAATCCGCTGATACTACAAATGTCAAGAACTTATGTAACCAACAAGGAATGAAACAAGAAACTAAAAAAACAGAAATGAACATTAACCCTATCACTACAGGTTTTCCTGCAGTCATGGGTCAAAGGGCATGTCATCACATTTGCAAAGAGCCCATAGTAAGAGAGTTAAATATTCCTTTTAAATCATAAGCACAGGACTAGAGTACAAGTTACATTTAATTGAAGAGAACACTCCAAATTTTGTGAGTATATACAATAAAACTAATTCATGAACTTTTGATTTGAGATTAATAACCCTTTCCAGATGGGTCAAAGGCCATGTCATTGCATTTGTTGACTTGC